GCTAGTGTTTCAATAACACAAATTTCAGCAAGTTTTTAATTTTTTTTATAAAGTAATTCTAAGATTGTAATTATCAATGTTTGAAAAAACAAATAGATAAGGTGGGGTTAGGAGTATATCTCCGTAGTAGAGCATTTGCTCTACTACGGGTGAGCCCCTGAGTTCAATCCTCAAGGAAGGAAGGAAGGAAGGAAGGAAGGAAGGAAGGAAGGAAGGAAGGAAGGAAGGAATGAGGGAGAGGAAAGGAAGACAGACAGGAAAACTAGACCATTGTCCCAAGAAAAAAATGATAGTAAAAATACCTCACTTACAATATTAACTTTTTCTATCAGTAAAGATGCACAATTGACATCTGGTGCTTTCTTTACAAAGAAATTTCCACTCAGTTCATCTTTGATAGATCCCTTGCTTTCCAGGAACCTCACTTGAGTAGATGAGGTAGATGCACAAGCAAATAACTGGGATACTATCATGTAAATGAAATATAAAAGAATGACAAAATGCTCAGAGCACTGGACACAGAAAGACAAGCATTGTTTTTTGTTTGTTTGTTTTGTGTTATTTTTCTGTTAGGGAGATCAAGAAAACCCAAAAGAAGGTGACAATTATTAAGGTGTCCCTGGAAGAATGAGTCTGATTTGTTCAGTGGAGAAAGTAAAAGACCATTCTAGTTAGTATAAGCAAAGTCAAGGAGGTGGGAGAGTTTAAGATGTTTAAACATTACATTGTGCCATATCTACTGAGAATTTAATATAGACAGTTCTCTCTCTTGTACTTTCTAATTAAAGTATCTTTTCATTGGTAACTGACCTCAGTTTTGATTTTGGTTTCATTTCCTTATAGTAAGATTTTTTTTTTTTCAAATTGTGGATCATGAAGCAAATTTAGACATTCACCACCAGCATTTCTGTTCAATTGAATGGCACAAAAGAGAGCAAGAATAATGTCAAACAGAAAAATATCAGAGTGCAGTAGTTTAGTAAGGGAAGTAGTATTGGTGAAACATGTCCAGGCTATGAGTGTTTGAGTGTGTTTCTATGTGTCTGTTCCATAATGTATTTCTTATTGTGGGTCACAATTTTAAAAAAAGAAAAGAAAACTACTCTAGTAGTAATATTTTCTATTGCTTTTCATTACACTCATGTTATATTGGTTATGATTAAACCTTGAGTCCAAATCAACCTTGGTTTTTAATGAAGTGACAAGTGACACAGACTGACCTCATTTATAAGCCTGGCACACAGGCAAGCATCTGTTTCAGTGAATTCTAGTACATTTTACCAGATGAAATGCTTCTAGCTTGGGAATTAAACCATTATTTGTAAAGTTATTTTAACATTAGTTTTCCCTTCTAAGTCTCGAACTACTAAATTAGGAACAATATATAAAAGTGACTAACAAAAAATAAGATTGCTAAGGTACTGGCTTATTCTATAATAATCATTCATTCATTCAACAGTTATCTATTGAGTGCTTACTATATCCTAAAGATGCAGTGGTGCAAAAGAGGGGCAAGATTATTGAAACAAATTTTTATATTAAACTTTCTTATTATATGTGAGCTTCTTAGAATTAAGATGACAGATTTAAAATGAAACATTTTGAAGCAAACTACAAAAAACATATAATGAAGGGAAAATGCTTTAAATACTCAACTTTAGCTTAGATAAGGGAAGTCACATTATCATATATATGGCATAGAATATTCAAAACTAGATGAGACAAATAGCATATTTCATAAAATGATTTTAATATATTCCTTGTGGAAAAATTAGAAAATATGTGCTCTTATGTAACATATATTTTGCAAAAGTATGAGCCTTGCACAGTAGGGCATGAACATCTGTCCTACTATTGTGTGGACTTATAAAATTTAAAGTTCTCTATAGAGAGTGAGCAGATTTTTTAAACTTACATTTTAAATAAAGAGCTAGTCTTGAACTTTTCACATGCAGTTTTTATCAGTTTATTCTTTGTAGTTTTTAAATATGTGTGGTAGTGAGAAGTAGTAGCATTTATTGTTTAAAATGTCAGAAACCAGTCCTTTTTTTATTCTTAAAACTACTTGTGAACACCATGCTAGGACTTGTAAAATTTCATTACTTTGCCTTATAACATTTAAAAAAAATTTCAATAAGTATCAATTGAGGACCTAGATCATGGAATAAAGATGCTAAGTAGGAAAAGATAAATATACTTTAGTTTACTGATGAGGTGTTATAATAAAATATAAATAGATGTTTCACTTATTATGTAGCTTCCTATGTTTTTAGTTCCATTCTGCATGTGTTCATTCCGCTTTTCCTATCATTATTCTCACTTGCTTCCAAGTCTATAAATTGCCATATTTAACTGTCCCTTTAAAACTGTTTAGTAATATAATTATTTTTTGATCACCTTTTGAAATTTTTTTTACTGACTTTAACCAAGTGCATATTTCTATGTTATTAAATTAAATTTCCTGCAAGGTATTCTCTAACCTCCATCAATTTTTAAAAATTCTTTCAGAATAAGTGAATATATATTGTTTTCATTGGAGGGAAGGAGAAAGAAAATAAAAAGGGGAGGTAATGTATATAGGTGATGAAAAAAACAAGCTATTTTATTACCTCTTTAAATTATTTTTTCAGGGAAAAGGCATAAGTTCATAATAGGAACAATGTTGAAAGTTTAGAAGGCCAGAAATGCATAGTAACACAGAAACTTTCAATATTAAAGTTTTCTAATTGTGACATTAAAAAAAAAAAAAAAAAAATTTTTTTTTTTTTTTTTTTTTGTGTGATTTTTTTTTTTATGGTGTCAAGTTTTAAGATGTATTTAGGCATTGCCCATCTATTAAATGAGATATTTGCTTCCTTTACCTCATGTCAGATAGGTTAGAGTTGAGTTAGCTGGTTTTTAAGATGGTTTCTATATTGTTTCTAAGATGAACAATTTGAGACTAAGCTAAAAAAAATGCTTAGAAAAAAATCTTTGACAAATGTCAAAATGAGTGATTAAAGTACATAAATATATAAATATTAATTTTGAAAATACAAAATTCAAATAGGAATTGTTCCACATGTTGAGAAAATGCAAATGTAAAAAATACTTTGCTACTTCTTCAAAATCTTTGTATTAATTCTCTTTTGTCACCAAAAAATATTTAGCACAACTTTTAGATACTAAGGGAAGAAAATGCATAGTCTTTATTTCTCTGGGAATTTTCCTCATGGATCTTCCTAACAAAAGAGGAGATCTGGTATAAAGTATGATTTAAAACTAAAAATGTCTATCTAGAAGAAGAGGAAGTAATTTTGAGTGTTTATGTTTTTCTAATGCACCTGTAGTTCTTATTTTCCAAAACAGGGTTCAGAATTATGCCTGGGTCAACAAAAATATAGCCTTACACCTTGCTTTTATAACATCAGTATTGAACAATGTGACGAAAATATGTCTTGGAAGGAACAGGATCAAAGATTCTTCAAATTTCAAGGTGCTGGGCTGGGGTTGTGGCACAGCGGTAGAGCGCTCACCTAGCATGTGTGAGGCCCTGGGTTCGAACCTCATCACCACATAAAAATAAATAAATAAAGATGATATTGTGTCCAACTAAAAGATAAATATTTATAAAATAATTTTAAGGTGCTAAATTTTTGAAGTCATATATCCTGAAAATGCATAAATGAACATTTATCAGATGACGATTTGATCATAACAAATTATCGAAGACATTGACATATTACTTAAATTGCAGAGGCTCACAAACTCAAAATAACTTTGATAGGGCTCTAGGAATGCTCAGATTTAGTTAAATTTTGAAAACTTTTATTATTCGTATTTATTTCCATAAGTTCATTAATAAAGAGTTCTGTTTTATTGTTGTGATTTACGCAGGTCTTCTTATAATTCAATGTATTCTTAAAGTGAGGAATGGTATTTTCCCCCTTTCTTTTGGGAAGCTGAGAAGTATGATGGAGCTAACAGTTACAATGTTAGACTGAAGTAAAATAAAAAGGTTGAAATTCAATGCCTCAAACTTTTAAAATCTGTTTTCTTCACTTTTTTATTATTTGTACTACCAGCAGAAGTAAATAAGTGATATAGTTTCTGAATATTTCAGAGCCAATGACCACTTTCAGATGAAAGCGATAAAAAAATGCAAAAAACATTTTTTTCAATTATATCTAAAATTATCCACATTCCTTTGCTCCCTGAATCTACAAGGAATTTCTAATTTGGGGGTGTAGAGGGTGAGGATAACTATCTCAGGAGTTAAAAGTTGGTATGCAAGAAAGGATCTGAATATCTATCCCACTGCTATCATATACAACAGATGGAAAAATCAAGAAATCAATGAATAGGAGAACAATACAAATGTGTGATACTTTGCATCCAGTCTCCATGGGAAGAGGTAACTTGAGGCGGTTAGTACACTTAGCAAGGGGGCCCCTGTGCATTAGAACTGAAGCAGACACTTGAACATCTGTGGACTTCATGCAAGAATTTTCATCTCAGAATGCATACTCTAATAAACAACAGTTGGATTAAATTGTCTAGGATGTTCAACATAATGCTGAACTACGACTGAGAGAACGAAGGGTGGAATTGCATTTCCTTTTGTAAAGTGAAAACAGCCGTGAGCACAGCCTTTTCTAAAATCTGATATTTAGGGAGAATTGTAAGAAGACATCAAATTCTTCAATTTGGAATGAAGAGTGGCCGAAGTTACTGGAAATCTCATGCCTCTAAGTCTGCAAATCACAGGCCAGGAAAGAAAAACTTTTCCAACACCCAATTTTAATATTGTGCAAAAGCCATCAACTCTGTTAAAACCCTGGAGTTAAATATGATCCCCATCCCCACCCCCACCTCTTCTCTTAGGTTAGTGTTTGGGGGACAAGGAGGGGCTGGAGCTTGGCCCCAACCTCGGAATTGCTGCCAAAGGCTTGTAATACAATCTCTCCCCGTTTGAAGGGTAAATCAGTGTCAATTGCGTTTGCTGTCCACCAGAAAAAGTAAGCATTTTACTTCCGCTCGGTCTATGTGGACTGATGAAATGTAGGAAATCTGTTTCTGGCAGGGGGAAAAATCGTTTTCCCAAACTGCACCAAGAGGAGACTTCAGAGAAGTATGAAGAGGGGCAGTGTGACTGTAGCTGTTGCCGCTGCCTCTGCCGCTGCCGCTGTACTGGTGGGGTGCGGGGAGCCGCTGCTGCAGGACCTGCGCCTGGAGGGGGCCGGCCCCAAGAATCTGCAGGAGCCCAGGCGGGAGCCCTGGCGTCTCTGAAAGCAGCCAACAGCACAGCTCGGAACCCGGGGGTGAGCAAGGCGGGCTGGGCGAGCTCTCCGCCAACGCTGCAGCAGCATGCATGCTCCGCAGCCAGGGGTTGCGAGAGCCCCTGCCGGTTTGTTTCACCGGGGGCGAAGGGGGAGGGGCAGGTTACTAACAATAACCGCAGGGATGTCGCAGGGAAGCGTGAGAGTCGTTGGCCGTGGAGTAGGCTGTGGTGCTGAGAGCCTTAGTGCGTGCAGTGGGTGACTTTGTGATTCCCTGGAAACAACCCTGTGCTCCTCATCCTTACAGTGCAGCAGCCCAAAAAGCCTGCTGGAATGGCTCAGCCAACCAGGGGCAGAAGTGAGGAGTTCTAATTAGCACATCGATTATAAATGTACACATAGGCATACTTGCACAAGAGTGTCTAATGAAGGCTCAGCATTGTCTGCTGCTGGGGAGAAGGGAGAGGAAAGGGTAGTTAATCGGTTGATCTTGAATGTTTTTGAGTCAGAGAGGCCAGGATGAGAGGAAAGAATGCAACACTTGGAGATTTGGGGAGATATTCGTTTCCATTGAATGAGTTGGATGGAGTTGTGCTTTTCCTTAATGAACAAACTCTGGCCCCTGTATCAATACCCTTTGGGAAGATTTTGCATGGTATCATTCTTTTTTTGTCCAGCTTAAAGAGTAGACTGGAGTCTGAAATTGGGGAGCACTGAATCAACTCAATATGGTAAATGGCGATTGACAGTCCAGAAATTCAGATTGTCTGGTCTCTGGAAAGGAGAGGAGTAAAATCGGGAATTTACAAATTGTTTTCTACATTCCAATACAATTGGAGGTATGTGTGAGGGAGCAGATATTTGCATATTTTGCCAAATTAACCTTTCAGCCTTTACCCTTCCCTCTTTCTTCATCTTCATTCTTTCACAATCAAGAATTCACAAAACTTTACTCTTATCATTACCACTTCTCCCAACCTTCCAACCAAGCTTGATCCAGTGTGTATGGGAGATGTTATGCAGAGGAAATAAGATCTGCACGGGCACAGGAACACCCATTAGGCCTCCTGGAGTTGAAATAAAGGCTCAGACAGGTTGGATGGACCAGCCAGACAGAGGAAGTTCTCCTTTCCTCACCACTTATCCCCTGAGATTCACAGAGGCAAGGCTGAGAACAAACCCTTGTGCTCATTGCTTCTCTCCCTCAACTTCTTAGCTTTGTGGACACTGAGTAACTACTACTGGGATCTGATTTGCCCAGCTTGTCTTTGAAATTGATCCATGAGTTCTTTCTCAAGGAATGTTTCCCTCTAACTGTGGAAAAGGTGGTGGCGATGGTGGTCCTTTCCAACATGGGCATCCAGGTTCTGACTGCTTAAGGAAGGTAAGGGCCAGTGGGATGAAACATGGGACAATGTGCCTTCATAAGGCACATTGGGGCATTTGCACAGGGCTGTCTGAGTAGTCTCTGGCACAGAAAGATAGCTTTTATTTCAGCCTGTTTGTTAGTGAACTTTGGAATTTATTTCATTTCATTGTTAATCATTCTGCCTGGGTGATATGGACTGTGCTGTACTGGCAATAAATTCACATGGCAAAATTTATTTCACCTAGTATAAAGGACCTGTGATTGCCGCTGGGTTCCCTGGTATCTTGGTATGAAGCCTTAGTTAAACCTTAAACTTGTATGAAGGCTGAAATGTCAGGTCTTATATTAATCCTCAGTATGATGTGTGTTATTTTAGAACTTTGCTTCAACACTGGAAGTCTGCATTGTAGACTCTGGGAGCTTTTGAAAGAACTATGATACCTTGGTTGAAAACAAATGAGGAGGCTCTCACAATTTGTTTACTTATGAGTAAAGTGGCCATAGATGTTGTAGTGTTATTTGGAATATTTTGGGGTTTTTATATTGTGCCCCAGACAAGATCCACTGTTTCTTTAAAAATTTTCCTTAGCAACTATAAGGGTTTTCCACTCCATGTTATTGACTATAAGAAAGGTTAGGATTAAAATAGAAAAAATCTCTTATGAAAATGGGTAAAATACTTGTGTAATTTTCTTTATTAAAAAGCTTTTGGAGTCAGTTCAATTGGACTTTTGCTAACTTTTTCCCTCTACACAAGAAATTCATATCTAGAAACAAAATGTAGAACTCTCATAGGTCTTAACTACCTTAGAGTCAAGTAAATCAGGAATGTTTGTGTTTTAAGTAATTTTTTACAAATCCTGCTCATTAGTTAAGAGTTACTAATTGGTTTACTGAACTTTTAATAAGTCATTAAATATTTCCAGTTATTTAATTTGGGATAGTTTTGTATATTTCACTTTAATCTGGTGGAGACATAAAAATCTATTTTAAATTGTTTGGAAGAATGGTTTAGTAAATTTTTTTTTAACTTGGATAAAACAAAAGAAACCCTAATGTTATGAGAATGTAGAAAATCCATTCACCTTCAGCTTTATTATTTTTATTGTTGTTGTTATTATTATTATTTTGGTCATGGTTTGAGAAGGACTAGGTATTGAGGTACATCATCATTTCATTCAAAACGAATCAGTAGAGGACTGGGATAAGAAAGAGGTGAATGGAGGAGAGTTAATATCACAGAGATTGAGCTTCAGGAGGGCAGGCTAGGATACTTCTAAGGACTATGTCCAAACAGCTTTGTTACTTTGGGCAATGTTTCTTCTTAAGCCCAGATTCTTACTAATAATGAGAAATATTGATACATTTTCTAAGGTTGCTTTAGGTTTAAATATTTTATCACATAAGTAGATAAACTAGCATTTAATGTCATTTTGCTATTATGTTTGGTGATGTTTTATTTATCTGTGGACAAATGGCACCCCTGCTAGATGCAGAACTAAAATTTCAGATTACAAAATCTGAAATCACCTTTCTGCTTAAATTGTGGACTTTATTTTCTGATTAGACACTTATAAGATTTTGCATTCATAACATTGGTTGAGACTATGCATTGTGTAGAAAGATTATAATTGGTCAAAATGAATCACATAAGAGTAAAATACAATTGTGAAAAAAAACAACTTTTTTTTTTTTTTAATTCTTTGATTCTAACTTGAAAGATGGTATTTTCTCCTTTTAGATTTTGGAAAGGTGTTTGGTTTGGGGCATTTTGTTTGTTTTTAGTTTTAAAATATGGTGTAACTAGTCTATGAATTTTTTTTTTCTGCATTGTTCAACACCCACAACACCCAAAACTGAACAGATACCGGTGAGGTCAACAATGTTGATGAGAGTGGAGGTTGCCTTTAGTGAGGGACACTTGACTGTGGATTCATTTGGACTCCTTGCTTTCACTGGCCACAGTTGAGTGTGTGTGTGTGTATGTGTGTGTGAGAGAGAGAGACAGGAAGAGACAGAAGTGAGAGTTGAGGTGTGTTGGTAGTGATATCCTCTTACAGCATTCCTCTATCTTAATAGCTTATGCTCTTCAACTGGTGTAAAAATATGCATATGATAAATTAGCATATTATACCCCCCCACACACACTATTCACTGTACTTCTCACCTTTCATATATCATCTTGGCAATGACATTCTTCTTGATATGAATGAAACTTTGGATTTTTCATTATTTATGGCTTTATAGTACTGATACTTTCTCTCTTTGTACTTCACCTTTACTGCTGTTTACTAAATGATTCAGAATTATCTAGAATGTTCTTACTTTGTTGCACAATGTTTTTCCAAAATAAGTCAATGGACGTGTGTGTTTTTCTGTTATTATTATTATTATTAGTAGTAGTAGTAGTAGTACATTTTCTGATGGTGATGCTTTAAATTTTGTAATGTAGAATATATTGACCACAAAATAAATAATCAGCATTAGTGCAAATATTTAATCCTCACAATATCTTTGAAGTGTTAGTTTGCACTATACATAGTGAAAAATCAAAGAGAAAAAGAAATGGGACTAGAATAGAATATTTACCAAATGTAAGGTACTGGGACCTTTATTTGACCCTAGGACTTCTGATTCCAATATTGTTTCCAGTAATTTGACTTCTTAATGGAATCTTGTAGAAGACTGTAGAGATATAATGTTTATCTAATTTAATTCTTTTTTTTTCTTTCTTATTTATTTTATATATAATATTGCAATTCATTTTCTCTAACATGGCAGCACTGTAGAAATAGGCCCCAAACCATTTTGGTCACAATAAAGAACACCTCTAGGTGGTGTGAAAGAGTCCCCCTTTTTTCTTTTTTTTCAGAGTCACAAGTGGTATCTTCAGCTGAGATTCTGGAGCAACAGGCTAGACAGAGTCTTTAAACATGTGATATTTTACTTATGGAGTCATTAACTTTTTCTTCTTCCCCTGGGCTTGTTCAAGTCTCATCATATTCATAATTGCTATTCCAGATCACATCTACAATGGAAAGAAAGAAAAATCTACATACACACAGTCTTTGAAAAAGTCTGTATTAAATTTCTGCATGTTTTTCCCTTTAAATTTTGTTTTTCTTAATGCTAAGTGCTGAGGGATGAGTTATCCACTTTTGATAGACCAAAAAAGTTTTCTGGAACCATAGTCTAGAGGACTCATAGAAGTATTTGAGTTCTTATTCTTTTCAAAGTGATTGACTTTAATACTTGCCAAAATTACTGATCAAGCTTCTAAAATATTTAGATTATATAAATTTATTGGTAATATCTGTCAATGTTTAGACATACAAAATTTGTTTATTTCTTTCTAACTTAACTTTGTTCTTTAATCCTAGTGGATCATTTAATCATTTCATTTCCCATCTTTTCAAGCTACCTCTTGACATCTTTCGTGGTTTTGAAAACTTTTCATTGAGTTCTAAAGAACTGAAATAATCCTTATATTACAGTTTGTTTTTTAGGATTCAAACTCAACTCATCTGGGTTGATTCAACAAATACTTTATAAAAATTATAAAAATGGCCAAATTCTATAAATATCTTTTCATCTGGGTAGTACAAACTCATTGAATCTTTTTGCACAATTTAATCCTTTCAATTGGAATATATTTCACCATAGCATAAAATCTTCCAAACTCTAAATTTTGTTTCTGCAGTCTGGATCCATTTCTATGTTTCCTGTGCTCTGTTCTGCAAAGTCTAAATCTAAGACCTCCACTTGACAACATTCAGCTAACGCATTTAGTCATGCTTAGTTTAGTGGCAATCTGAAAATTGAAAATGGATCAGAGAAACTGGGTTGACAACCCTAATTCTTTTCAGAGGCGACTTAAAAGTCCTCATTTAGGAGAGTGACTTTAGGTTTATACATAGTTGTCTTACGTTTAATTAATTTTTATTGCATGTTAATTACCCATTAATCTTTCTTGCTCTCATGTTGGTCTCCTGGGGCAGTGTAACTCTATTCTTGGATTTCTCCCCACTGGAATTTTGATTGTATACAAAGTATCAGAATAAAAATTGCTGGATTATTCTGATTGTTTTTACTTGATGATCACCTGTACATATTAGAAGATAGCTTGAATTACATTTCTGGCAAAATGCAAACCAGATGACATGAGAAATAAATGTAGCACTGTCAAGGAAGATAAAAACTTCACTGTTTGCAAGTATTGAGGGGAAGGATTGTGTCCCTCTGACTCATTGAAATGGTTGCACCCCATTAGGCTTACTGTAAACTATCCCTTGATGAATTCTTTGCTGGACAATGAGCTTAAGAATCTGAGGTGTCTTCTTGCTTTTACAGAGCAAAATAGGGCTCTGATGCTTCAGTGGAAGTTGCAGAACACATAATAGGGTGTAGGTAAAGTTACTAAAGCACCACATCTCACTTTCAGGAAAGTAGTGGGAGAGATTGTGTCTTGAGAAGAAAGGCATTTTAGAGGTAACCCTTTTAAGATTTCAATTAGTTTATTTAAACATATGAATCATGTGCTTTAATGTATTATTACTTAAATGTTTGTTTCTGAGAGTAGCTGGCCTGTAAACATCCTAACCAGCTACAAAGAGATGTTTTATTTTGCTGGGAATGGACCTATTTTTAAGAGAACAGAGATTGAAAGGTGTTTTAGGATTTTTGTGATTAATCAGAAGGTCTGGAGAAAACTTCAGGACTTTATATGAATAATGTCATCATTAACTGTGATAGACTGCAACAATGGTATATGTTCTGATTCATATACCATCAATTTAATAACTTACAGTATGGTAGAGTAAAAACATTTCCTATTTATGCTACATCACTTTAGATACTTAGAGATTTAGAGAATGTTTTCAAAGAGAATTTATGATAATTGTTTTCAAATATTATTCAAAAGAGTAATGAAATTGTGATTGTGCCTTTAAGTTGTTATATTTATGACACATTTTCGGTATTTATTCACTTTCCTAACAGTCTCTTCTAATATTTAGGAGGTGGTGACATTTTACATTGTTTGAAATACCAATGTCTTACATTTTCAAAAAATAGTCATGAAAAGAAATTAACCAATGCTAAGTGAATTACAGTTCAACATTAACTGAAAATGAATAGTATGCAAAGTTTCTAAGAATAAAACAGATAGCACATAACTTGTATTGTTAACTTTACAATGCCACAGATAGCCTTAGGGATGTAGCTTAGTGGTAGAGAGAGCTTGCCAAGCATTCATGAGCTCTATCCCAGCCCTAAAAATTAGAAAATAAAACAAATATTAATATATAACTGAAAGTCTTATGATAGCATACAAATCTTACTCCATGCCTGTTGCAAATATTTTCATTTAATTATGTTGCATTTGACTAATTTCATATTCATATTTTATTTGTAGACAGAATGAAATACTACAAGTTCATAAACATATGACTTCACTATTTTAGCAGTTTCAACAGTAATTTGTATAGACTTATGTCCTGATAGTCATGAATAAAAGTGTTATATTCAGAGCAAATATATATATATATTTTTTTTTTTTTTCAAATATCTTTTCTATAACACACATGGGATGTTGTACCAGGAATAAGGAAATCAGGTAAATGAAGTTGTTTCTTGTTTTATAGAATAAAATATTTATCTATTCCCACTCTAAAAATTATTTCAAACAAAACCCATCAGGTAAAATAGGCTAAGTGGGAAGATAGAAAGGAAGAAAGACATGATAGTAGAGGACAAAAAATTACCTGTGATAGGATTTGTTAGAATTATGTTGTAATTCTAGATTATTAGTATGAGCTCTTGATTAGCGCATTTTATAAAAATGTGTCATTATGGAAAGAGTGTTGATGTGTGAAGACCAGATCAGCCTTCCTGTGCTATGATCTGTCTGATCTTGGTTAAGTCAGAAACTCTCTGCTTGTTGCTTTCTGTGACCATCAAAGAGATCTTTTGAATGCACCGCCTTACCTGTTCCCCACTCAATTCTTTTATTGTGAGTTTTTAATTAATTGGCTATTTCAAAAACCAGGTGCTATGCTTTATCTTTTAGGCAACAGTTTTAGGAGGACTATGTGTTTACCATAAATTGTGCAAATAATGTAACTGATAATATTTAGTCCTAAAACTTTATGAAAATTTATGTTTTCAAAAATTAACCCAAACAATGAGAGTTAACAAATTGGGCATTAAAATTTTAATTCAACCACTTTTTATTTCGTTCAAGTAAATGGAATTTCTTGCCTTAGCAGCTGATCCTTTCCAAATATATTATTTTACATGAGCTAAGGGGTTACTGTTTGATTTCTTATTTGACCTTTGACTGCTGTTATTTCCTACCAAGTGGTTGGCCAAAAGTGAGAGGGCCTTTACAAATAAAGCAATGTTTCATGGAGTTTAATAATTAATCACCTGACCTATCACCAAAAAAAAAAAAATCCCCAAAACAAAACCATGAAACTGGTTCAATACGTTGTCATTGTGGCAGTATTTTAACCACATAAGTCTGTATAAAAGCAATTGCTTTTTTGTTTCCAAAACAGGTATTACAAGTGGATAAATAATGTGCACTGCTCTGAGCCCAAAGGTGCGCAGTGGGCCTGGCCTCTCTGATATGCATCAGTATAGCCAATGGCTGGCCAGCAGACATGAAGCTAATTTGCTACCGATGAAAGAAGATCTGGCCTTGTGGTTAACCAATCTATTAGGTAAGGTTATAAGATATCATTTTGTGACCATAGATAACATTTTGTTGTTGTTGCTTTTTCCTCTTACGATCTCCTTCACCTAAGCATGTGATAGCAACTTGGAAAGAAAGGCTTTCATTATTTGGATTTTTCATCTGGGAAACCTGAAGCATGTGGAAAATTTCAAGGAATTTCCCAATGTCTTTCATATGAACTGTGATTCATGATTCCAGCATCATGCATTGAAATGTGGAAATATGTGGTCAAATTGCTTAGTACATTTATATACTAGTCTGATTTATTTTTCACTTTTCTTTCATATAACTGACCAACTTGACCTATTCTTTTGACAGTGTTCACAGGCCATAGTCTGTGAAATCTAGCTTCTAAAACTAGATTTCTTTGTCCTACTTTTATAGCACACCTTCTAAAACTGCTGAATACCCAATCTTAGGAACAAAAACATCTATCCTTTGTCCAAATGAGCTGACTACACTTATTTAACCTTGAACTAAACTTTTTCTTCTCAATTCACCTTTGTTTTCATGTACTTGTCTGACAATATTGTTGAGAAAAAGCCTACCTCAAGCAAAGCTGCCTCTTCATTTCTTTGGATAAAATTTCTACAAGTGCAAAATAGATTTATACATTTAAAAAATCATAGTATACACTAATATTTTCCTGAAGAATAAAATTGATTTACATCTTGGGGAAAGGATCCTTACAGAGCTTATAAGATATAAGATCTGGATATTGAGTCAAAGTAGAATATATAAGGCACTTTATCATTTGCAGAAGGGATTTGTCAACATGGCTTTATTCTTTAAGGAATGCTTCAGGGTTAGTGTTGGTATCTTCACACTTCAGTTGATGAAACTGAAAAGATTAATGAAAACCACCCTGTCCATCTGAAATTTTCACCTCATTTGGTGAGGTTTGAGCCCATTTTAGCAAGCTTTTTTTCCCTGCTTGCTATGGTTGTGAATTTTTGCATGGATTTTGTTTATTCTTATTTATTTCCCCCCTTAGAGACACTGTGTGCACCCTATTTTGGCAACTTTTCATGGTTTAACCAGGGCTATCAAATATGGGTACATAAACTGTAGTTTTTTCACAAAGGTGCTCAGTCAAAGGGCAATGAGTCAGAAGTTCAGCCACCATCCCCCAGAAAGACTTTCCCTTCACTCTTTTGTGACATCCTCTCTACCAGAAGGAGGGGGCTACCATCTGTTAGTAATTCATCCATGCAAAGGAGGAATTTTGTCTCCATCAAATGTAGTTATTTTAGCTTAAACATGGATTTTTCTTTCTTTGTTTTCTTTGTTTGAATCACTTTAGGATTCACTAATGATTGTTACTTTAGCAATTCATTAACTTTCAGCTGTCTGTCTTCTGATATAAGCTATCATGTGCAGCAGTATAAAAGAGAAGTTGAGTACAGACTCTGGAAATACACCACTGGCATTTGAACCCCAGCTCTGTCACTTTCTGAAAGTGTGATCTTGGGCAAGTTCCTTAACATCTCCATGTCTTGTTTTTCTCATGTATACAACAATTATTTTATATACACACATATATGTGTGTGTGTATGTGTATGTGTGTGTTTACTATAATAACAATTATTATCTATCTAGTGTCTTGTTTTTCTCATGTATGCAATAGTTATTATATGGTATAATAACAGTTATTATCTATTTAATATTATCTATTTATAGGTTGTTGTGAAAGTAAATAATTTAAATATTTATAATACTTAAAATAATGCCAGGCATATAGTGAACAGTAAACATGTTGTTACTCATTTATATAGTTCAATGAAACTATTAATTTGATTTAGTGCATGAATTCATTAATTCAAGAAATATGTCTGACCTCAGCTGTGTTGGACTCTGGAATAAGAATGTGTCAATTCAACTCTGTTCCACTGTTTACTGTGTGTCTTATTACAAAATGCTTCAGTTCTACAGTCTGTAAAATTCGTACAATACTAATACCAACCTTAATGATTTGGTGGTCTATGACATAATAATCAACCAGTAAGTAATAACTATTATGATGACTATGTTCCAGACACATTCTGAATGGTAGTAGAGGTGATTAAGAATAGACATAGTACCTATTCTTACAAAATTTAGAGTAGATTAGCAAATAAACATATTCTATAGGTAATTGAATATGTAATCCATTGACAGAACCTAAAATATTGAATTTGCAATTAGACTGTGAAATGGGGTTTGGGCAGGGCAAGATATCAAAGGGCTTGAGGTAAACTTCAAGGGGTTTGTATTTAAACGGAGAACTGAAGAATGGTTGATAGCTAGCAAGACAAAGCATGGAGTAAGAGTCTTTGTGGGCAGGAAAGGAATTGGGCTGGGAAGGAGTTTAATATTTTGGAAGAAATGAATGAAGTCTAGCATCAACATGAGAGAGAGAAAGGGAGACACAGAGAGAGACTGTGTGTGTGTGTGTGTGTGTTTCATCAGACTTGTTAGGCCTACTCCACATACTGCTTTGAGTAGCATATTAAGGAACTTATAATTTATGGTATGATCAATGAAGAGCCATTGAAATTTCCAGGCAGGGGAAATGGACACTCCAATGTCCCATGACTTATCATCAAGGCATTTTATTTAGTGAACGTGATCAGTTACAAAGTAGCTTGATCAGTGTGACAGCCCAAGACAGCCTCAAAGAAGAGAGTCAGTGTGTGTAATGGAAAGATCCTTGGATTAAAAGTCAGGAGACCTGGCTCCTAACTGGGAGTCAGGAGACCTGGCTTCTGGTTCTGGCTCTGCTGCTCTGTAGGAAACTTGCCCAGAGTCACTCAGCTATCTTTTCTGGGCTCTGTGTCCTCAACCATAAAATGAAGGGATTGGAGTAGATGATCTCTAATATCTTTACCAGCTCCCAAAAGTTAAGTTTTCAAGAAATCCATCTGTTGAGACCCATGAGGGCAATTGAGGTCATTGATGTGCATAAACAAGGAAAGGATTTATATAAAGGAATGACCTTCTTTTAAAGAATAGGAATTTTTTAAAAAAAATTAGTAGTTGAACACAAATGCAATTGATAGCTTATGGATTTTCTCAGGATTGGAATCCTGAACAAATCTCAAGACACAGTGAAGTGTAACCTTTGAATCCTCTTGAGTCCATATGAAGTAGAATGGTAATGAACTTCAAGTGAATACCCTCATGGCAAGTTGGAAAGTAGTCTAATAACTTGAAATTATTTCAATTGTAAAACATTTGGAAGTAGGACACTATTAATACCAGATTGGTGGTTATCAGGAGAAGAGGAATAAATGTATGGCCCTGCTAGTTATTTTCTTATGTACATCTAGAATTCACATACCATGGAAATAGAGCCACTAAGATAAATTTTAAAATTATTTATTACTGGGTACTTTGTTCCTTCAGAAATATTTGCAGATTTTTACCATGCTGCTCTCTTCCAATTCTTACTTTTTATGTAAACATGAAAGTTGGAGATGTCTCAGCAGCAGTTTCAAAGTTAATCCTGTCTTCATAGAAAGTAAAATTCTTCATTGAAGTAGAAAATTACATACTAAATTAAAGCTTTTAATTAGGTTTTACTGTTGTGATATGGGACCTTACTTTATCATTGTGATATGGAAATATTTCCTGCTTCTTTCTGGGGTAGTTGTCCAAAATGAAACAAATTCTTCAATTTTTCCAAAGGAGTTTCAAATTCTAAATGCAGATATTTCTGATCCTACATATTAAGTATCAAATGAAAAAAATGTACTTTTTGAAGAATGATCAATTTATATTTAGAGTTTTTGAAGGACAAGTATGATTTGATGGGCAAGAAAATGATTTCTGTGAGCCAGGGTTTTGTCTCAGTGGTAGAGCGCTTGCCTAGCATGTGTGAGGCACTGGGTTCGATCCCTGGCACCACATAAAAAGAAATAAAATAAAGGTATTATGTCCATCTACAACAACAAAAAAATTTTTTTTCAAGCTAAAATTTAAATATTAGAATGTAAAATACTGGCTGTCTTATATGTCTACTAATGAAAGTCAATAAATACTCATAGGACTTAGGATCTGAGTGGGAGACAGCATGACAAATGACATGAGATCATGTGACATTTTCTGACTATTTACATATCCCTTGGTACATCTACTTATTTTATGGGAAATACTCTTTGTAATCCTAGTATGTCTCCTAATAATTGCTGGGATGATGGTGGTCCCATTTTATGGCAAACTTTCAGAAAAGACATAAAAAGATTATTTGGCCATTGTACTCTGCTTTGCATTAATATCTGCATTAAATCTTTATTCTATATTTACATATTCACATTTATTTCCCCAAAGGGCTACTATTTTGTTGTTCTTACTTACATATAATTATTGCTCTTTTGTTATTTAACTGTGTCCTCAGGACAAATTAGAAAATCAAATGATTCTATAAATAAATCTTTGGGAAAAAATTTAATTGTGGCTTTGAGAAAACTGGATGCTATTAAATTAAAAGTTTCATCTTATAGCCACCAACCGTCATTCAAATAGGTTAGGCATATTTTAGTAACTTCATGGTTATTGATGGATTTTTGAAGATTGTTATTGGCTTGACTTTGATATAAATATACTGAACATAAATGTTTTCAAATTGTACATTTTGCTTTTATCTTTTATTTGAAAGCTTTACTTTGCTTTCTATGAGTTTTATCCAGCAATACTGTATGAATCACATGGGAGTATACTTTTGAGAAAAGATTTTCATTAGGCATCAAAAATTGAAATTATTTTTAAATATTGTAAATATTTAGAATGAAGGTATATGTGTACAGATATTCAGGAACTTTGAACAAATTATAAGATATATTACAAACAAAGTTATGCTGAATTAAATTTATTTACATTTAGAAAATCCATTATGACAATTGAGGTCATGGTGATTTTATCTTCTTTGACCTTTCTACATACACATAAAAGATTTCAATTGTTTTCACTTTAATCTTTCCTTTTTTTTTTATACTGAGGATTAAACCC